CGTTCATGTTTGATAGGGGGGAAAGCAATGCCCCTGAAATAGTAAATTATTTATAAGATATTAACTTGGAACAATTGCCATCACTCAAGTTCATCCCTGATGATAACACTGACCGGTGCCTGCTGTGCCGTTGGAGAAACACATTTTCAGGGGCTTTTATGCAATTATACCCAAAGATCTCGTGCCTGATGACATAAAGAGAACAGTCTGTTTATGGAGATGTAGTCAATATCTCCTTTTCTTTTTGGTATGAATAATTCATAGTTTAAGACACTATACGCACTCACTTAATATGTACACACACTTAAACACCCACACATCTCTAATACAAATGATGCTTTTAGCTGACAGTGTAACAGGATTTAAGGTCCCAGTGGGGTTTGGCCCAGCCGTGGATGGGCGCTGTGACTGTCAACGTGACACAGAGGGCCGGCTGCCCCTCCTAATCTCCCCCTGAGGCAACATCACAGACCGCGGATCCTGCTGCACCTCTATGGACGCACAAAGACCTGATTATCATTCATATGCTCAGCAGAAACACCAGTCCAATAGATAACAGATGACACATAAGTACCAGCTGAATGGTGCAATATGTTGAGGCTGCATGAGTCTATAGGGACTAATGAATCCTTAAGAGAGAGGGAGTCCGACAAAGAGCCGCAGTGAGTTGAGGTGCCACAATGTGACAGATATAAGGCTCCACAGGTGAACATTAACCAAAGAGGATTAACCGCTAAACTGTTTTTTTCCCAGTTGTAAATATAAGGGATTTAGCAGCAACCATGTGAACTCTCTTAGGCTTTTTATCATGCTGAATACAGAGTGATCATATCTAGAAAGTGGAGGCGTTTCAGTGAATATTTTGGGATGAGAAGTTAAGTGAACATTTGAAGATGATAATTGATAAAGTACTGCTTAACTCAGCATGGCCTCTCAATTAAGGAGATCAAATGGCATTTTTACTTCAACTAAAGTTACAAGAAGCATTCTGTCAATTAAAATGAAACCGCAAGTTAAATTGTTGGTCAGTTTCTCAACACATTTTTTTATGTTTTATATTTGAAAATGTATTTTTTATTGGCTCAATTTGTTCATCAGTTCTTAATTGTTATACATAACATGCAGCAGTGTATATATTCAAGCCTGGAGTATGATTTATTACTTTACAAAGCACCATGACTTTTGCTCTATTAACCTTTTTTACTATCTCAATTTCAGTGCCACAAAATTAGATTTTTTCGTAAAAGGAGTAGACACAAAACAGATCAATACAATCCATAAAGAAGGTAGAAATATCTATTTAGTTTGTGCCCTTGTGAATATTGTTCAATAAGCTTTAAAAAAAGTGAACTTCATACAGGTCCTTTTCAGGGGAGAGACAAGGATCTGAACTGTATTCAAAGAGGTTCAAAGACATTAAGCATTCAATTGTGAATGTGTTCGTTTTGGGCTTGTGCAAAAATAAGTGTTTGTTAAGGGGTTAACAGAAGTGACTCTCTGAAAACTACAAAACACAGGGTGAGTTTTCGGGTTCTGGCAGGTCTCTGATGAGAAGTTACTGGATCAATTAATTGCATTACCTTTTCTGACATCAAAATATGTTGATTTGGTGTGACCGAGTTTGGCGGAAATGTGTGTGGATGCAAAGTTCTGAGGGTTAAAGACTTGATTATTTGAATATAAAGTTTTAATAAGATGCATTTTATCGGTTTTCCTTAGACCCAATCATCCTCATTCCTGGAGGGCTGGACGGAAACAAACTAAATAAGCTAAATACATTTTTTTTAAAAGAGCCAACTATGATGACATCAGCTACTGAAAGTGGGGACAATGTAGGAGGTTTGATGAAGTGGACAAACTAAATTCGTTAGAGTGAATGGGTGGGGCTAAAATGCTTCAGCATTAGACGAACATATTTGTGTCTCCCCTTCTGAGTCTCCCCTGGATCCTCTACTAGTGCAAAACTAAAATAAAGATAACAGACCAAAGAAAGTCCCTGCAGACCTGATGCTTAATTCTAAACTTTTTTTTTTAAAATAACAATATACTGTATGTATCAACATACCTTTCTTTCTCAAATGAAATTAATACATATCTTACTATATAATACTTCAAGGCTGGATTATTGTAACTCTTTATTATCAGGGTGTACCAAGAAGTCAGTTAAGTAGCTTCAGCTGATTCAAAATGCTGCAGCTCGTGTACTAACCAGAAGTTAGGAAAAGGGACCACATTACTCCTGTTCTGGCTGCCTTACACTGGCTCCCTATAGAACAGGATAGAATTTAAAATTCTTCTTCTCGCCTACAAAGCCCTTAATGGGCAGGCCCCATCTTACCTTAAAGTGGACCTATCATGCTATATTTGAAACAAATATTGTAGGACCATACCTATATAAAACATGTCTGTGAAGTTTTTTTTTCAAAATACCAAACCGATCATGCATTTTAGCCATGCCTCATTTCGCTGTATTTCCTCTATTCCAGCCCTGTTTTTGCAAGGGCTGATTCTGTGGCAAATAAGTTGCAGCTGACTTCACCCCCCTGCAAAGGAGGGGAGCGAGGCACGAGCGTCATGTTACCATGCTGTTACCATGCCACGGCAACCTCTCATTCCCCTGATAGGTGGAGAGTTGCCCATATAGGCGGAGCGCTTCATTTCTGACGTCAGAGATATTTCAAATCTGTATCAGCTCCGTTTTTAGAGATTTGGGTATGGAGGAAAAGAGAGAGGGTTGTGTTTTCTGACACTTGGTGAGTTCCCTGACACACCGGGGACACATATTCATGTATAAAAGACGTACAAAAGTGCATTTTGCATGATAGGTCCCCTTTAAAGAACTCACTATACCCTACTGTCCTACTAGGGCAGGGTTCGGCAACCTTTTTGATATGAAGTGCCATTTAAACAAAAAATTGTTATCAGGGTGCCAACGATCGAGAATTATCAACGGGGGGGGGGGGAGGAGCTTGACGAGCTTGACGCTCGTCAACTATCAGCAGGAGGCGGGGGAGCCTCGCTGCGGGGAAGCAGTGTGTGGACCTGTCAGCGCAACTTACATGATGCCGAATTTAACAAACACATTCAAATAATTGGTTTAAACGGCATAATAATAAGGACGACCGTCCGTTCTGTGATTCTCCAGAGCAGTGCTTCTCAAACTTTTTTCAGCAATGTACCCCCCTTTGAAACCCCCCCTGACTGACCCCGACGTTTTTGAATCGAAAAAGCCTACCAGTATATACATAATAACCAATATAGGTGATGTTCCCTCAGTGTGTGATGTATTAACTCCTTCGTGGTATGCATTACAACAAACTAGGGATATGTTCATCTTCATGCATGAAAAAAAAATAATATAACACTTTTATAAAACAGATTTTCCAAGGAGATTTTCAATTAAGTAATATGTTATTGTGTAATACTATAAAATACAATACACACATTTGACATGTTTATATGAGGACCCCCTTGGGTGGTTCCTAGGAATGTTTTATATGAATTGTTGTTTTCTATTTAACTTATTGAACGGCGAACGGCCCGGGGCAAGGCAGAGTTAAAAAAAGGGGAAATTCGGGCGGACGGGCCGGGGCAAGGCAGAGTTCCAAAAGGGAATTCGGGCGGACGGCCCGGGGGCGAGAGCAAGAGGTCCATGGAGGGAATCTCGGGCGGAACGGTCTGGGGGCAAGGCAGAGTCCGAGAGAGGGGTGAAAGACCAGACAGCTCCGGAGGCGGTCAGGAGCCGGTGTCGGCAGATCCCCCATGGGAAGAGGACCACAGGACCGGCAGGACCCCCGGCAGGAAGCAGTTGGCAGGATCCTCTCACGCGACAGGACAATGGAGTTGGCAGGACCCCCAGCGGAAGAGTAGTCGGCGGGACCTCCAACGTGGCAAGACATTGGAGTTTGGCAGGACCCCGGCAGAAAAGCAGTCTGCGGGACCTCCAACGGCTCAGGACATGGGGTTGGCAGGACCCCCGGCAGAAGAGTAGTCTGCGGGACCTCCACGGGACACGACATGGAGTTGGCAGGCCCCGGCAGAAGAGTAGTCTGCGGGACCTCCAACGGGACCCAGACATGGAGTTGGGCAGACACCCCGGCAGAAGAGCAACTTGCGGGACTCCAACGGCTCAGGACATGGAGTTGGCAGGACCTCCCGGCAGAAGAGTAGTCTGCGGGACCTCCAACGTGACAAGACATGGGGTTGGCAGGACCCCCGGCAGAAGAGTAGTCTGCGGGACCTCCAACGGGACCAGACATGGAGTTTGGCAGGACCCTCGGCAGAAGAGCAGTCTGCGGGACCTCCAACGGCTCAGGACATGGAGTTTTGGCAGGACCCCGGCAGAAAGGCAGTCTGCGGGACCTCCAACGACACTTGAGTGGGTTGGTTCGCCAACAGAAACCCGGGGAGCTGGCGTCGGACGGACAGCCAAACAGGAGACGNATGACTGCTTCAGTGTTATCGTGCCCCATCACCATCTGAGCTGTATCTCAGCAGTTTTCAGGAAATTGTCGTGACAGAAGCTCTCACACATGTTGGCTTTTTTCCGCAAATGCAACAACAACTTGACTGAGAAACTTTAAGTGGCAGTTCAGCGCTTTGTGAGGTGGCTGTGAATCCCCTTGTAGGTGAGAATAGAGTTTCCCTGAAGTTCAGAGAGACAGAAAGCGTATTTTCCTACTGGAGATTCACACAGCAGACAGCTTTTCCTGTTAATGACTCTGCTCCGTTCAGTGCAGAGATAATCTCTTCGTTTGACTAATAGCTGTGGTAGCTGGTGAGTGTGTGTCAAATGTTGTGCAGAGCTGAAGAAATGCCACTCAATATTATTTAGAAACGTATATTCTCTAAACTGAGTAACGCAACACATTTTACAATACAACCTGTATTATTTGTAATTGTTTTCAATTCTTGGCTGCAACCAATGTAACAGATACAACCAGCAATATTGACTTTGTTTTATCACATTGGTGTGGAGGACACACCGTAACTTTCCCGCGGTGTGTTCACTGTCCTGCGCGGTTCGTCGCGAGCACAGACTGTTTAAGGTCGCGAGCTGTTTGAACGTTTCCAGGACAACCTTCTGAAGCTCCCGTCACTCAGGACAGCTCAGGACTCAGCTCTGTGATCTTCAGCAGGGAGTCAAGTTTAGAGGAGATTTCAATCTTATACCCTAAAGTAAGTGAGTAATGTTTGTGCATGTGTATCAGTAAACTGGTGGCGGTATGATTTGGAATTGAAGATGTGATATTGTTGTCTTCGTTTAGTAGCTCCATGCAAATGAAATCATTAGTGAGTTTCTGTGTCTTCTGTGAATCAGGTTAACTATGATGTTAGTGGTGTTTAAAAACTTGAGATACTTGAAACATTGCCGGTATAAGGCACTTTCAGAGGCGTAAAGTATTTACTAAGTACTTAAGTACAATTTTGAGAGACTTGTACTTTTTCTATTATTTCCATTGTTTGCTACTTTACTTCATTCAACCCTGCTACAGAGCTAAATTGTGTACTTTCACTGATTTACAGATTTTGATTAATAATGTAAAATATAATCAACACTTAAATTAGACTTTAGTTAGTTAACATAATCAGTTAAATTCAAAACTAGCTGCACATTTACCTGTTTTGATAAACCACATTATTGCATCAATAATTGTAATCAAAACATATAATGAATCTGAAAACGGGCCGATCTGCATAATGAGTATCTGTAATGATGCTAATACTTTTGTTCTTTTACTTGAGTAATTTTTGATTGCAGGACTGTAACTTGTACTTGGAGTATATTTCCTACAGTCACTTTAACTTAAGTACAAAATCTGAGTACTTCTTCCTCCACTGGGCATTTCAGTCATAAACATTAGAGAGGAAAACTCCAGCATTAGCTACAATGTTAGAGCACAATGACTTGTACCTGTCCTTCATGTTTATTTTGGGCAGTGGGAGGGACAGGAAGGAATTTATAGTTTCAGTGAAAGGCAGTGAGTTTGGCTTGCTAGGCTGAATTGTCTTGGTTCCCTGGACAACTGAGCAGCATACACCCGCC